GGCCTTTTCCCAAAAAAAAAAAAAAAAAAAAAAAGATGTACAATGGGACGAGATCACTCCTTAGGATTCAGTGTCTGAGCAAGAAAACAAAGCTTGAGAGACAGTGTATAGGGAGCCAGGTGAACTTTACGTGATTGGAATGAATTGGATTCCGGTCATAAAGCAACCATTTGGGGTTTGCTCTTGGCTGGATTCTGGGTCACTCCACATACCCATATAAAGACAGAGTCCAGCCCTGGCATATCCTGTATGTGAGAAAAACTTTCTGCCAAAACCAGGCTGGATACAACGTAAAGAGTGTGAGAATGACTTATGAAATGAGTCAGATTGACAAGATGATCCTTTCAGCTGCTTCAGGGAAGAAGGAACAGACAGACAGCAAGATAGATTTGCGGAAGAGTTGTGACGTCAGTGAGACAGCGGCACAGTGCAGGGTGAGGCAGCCAGAGCACAGAGAGGCAGCAAAAGCCACTCGGACAGGTGTGGGAGGGACACGGAGCCACAGCCCATAAAACCCAAAGGACAACTGTAACAATACTTTTTAGTATTTAAAATGCAATTCCTAATTAATCTACTTCATTGACATTCATGATTTGAGATGTTCCATATTTTTCTGCTGTAACTTTGTTCCATTATCTTGTACCAAGCAGAAAAGTTTCTAGCATTGAGCATAAAGTGAGTGTCTAAATGGTTTTGTGGCAAAAAGTTTATTTGCCCTGCTCAGGAGAAACTGTAGATTTGTCATTGCCAAGATTAATCACAGGACAGATACTCAGGGAGCCTTGGTCATAATTGATAATTGAATCTGCAAGAGCAAAATATGGGCACAGTGGCTCTGCAGCAGAAATCTTAGCGAATGTAAAGTTATGGGTCCCATCATTAATGTTAAAAAAGGAAATCATTCTCATACCCATATCCAGGAAAACGCCTACCCTGCGTAGCCCGGGACTCACACAGAGGGTGGTTAAAGGCACAGTGCTGGCTGCAAAGAGCTTTTCTTTCCTCACACCCACAGTCCAGAAGCCAAGTTCTGAAGACAACACAATTCTCTTGTCGATTAACAGATTCTTTGTAGGCACCAAATCCCATTCTTTGTCTGTCCCCACATCTACCTCCCAGTAATGGCGTCCAGAGGTGAAGCAAGGGGAGCCCAGGACACAGATGACTTGTTTGAATCTCAGCACACTCTCTGTGGTTCCAAGAAATCCACAATGGACCCTCCTCAGATCTTCAGAAATGATGAGTCGATTGTTGGCTATGTCAATATTCAGTGTCATATCCACTGCGGAAAGAAAAAAGGTAAATCAGCAAATAGAAACTTCCCGGCATTCCCCTATTCCATAGAATTTCTTACAGAAGATTGAAACAATTGTAACAAGTCCCTCTTGTTCATAGTAAGCATTCTTTTTAAAAGTTTGATTCTTCAAGATTTTTTCTTTCAGTACATGAGATCCATGAAGGCAGAAACCATGTCTGTGGCTTACTCTCAAAATCACAAAATTTAGCAGACTCTGTTCAAATATAGATATCTAATGAATATTCTAGATAATGGAAAAACTTCTTATTATACTATTAGATCAGGCTGTGTATGACGGCTTATGCCAGTAATACCAGCAGTTTGGGAGACTGAGGTGGGAGGATTGCTTGAGCCAAGGAATTTAAGACCAATCTGGGCAACATGAGACCATATCTCAAAAAAATTTGTGTGTGTGTCTGTGTGTGTGTCAGAAATCCAGATCCTCAACCAGCCTAGTCCAATAGAACCAGAATTTGCATTTTAAAAAAGATCTCCAGGTAATTTTAAAGTTTTCTATAGACATTAAAAAACATTCAACAATACTTTGAATAACATATTTTAAGCCCGTATATCCAGAATTATTGTCACTTCCACTTGGGGTACACCTGTGTTTTAAGGGCTCCATAGCCACTGGTGGCTACCATATTGGGCAGCACAGGTCTAGGGTATGACCTAAATATTATATTTTCTTCAAAATCTTCTGTTGTCTCTAATCTACACTCACAGCTGAGAACTGTTGTTTGGCAGGCATACACATTTTAGGTGCCAGAATTTAGCTAATGCCCCTATTTGATGGAGAGCCTTTTGAACAGTTGCTTTTTCCAAGGCTGTTGGTGGGCTGAGTGCAGGTTGTACAGATTTCTTACCCTGGGACTTCTGCATCTTTGGGTTTTCATATAGAATTCTTCTCAGCGGAGGCTCCAGTTCCTTGATTTTGGAAACCGGTTTTCCCAGCAGGAGATGGGGACCGACATCTTTTATAGTGACCACAGAGCAGATGGTGCAAAATATATCATCCCCATGGGGCTCCTTTGGAAGTGAACTGATACAGCAGAAGCAGCAGAGATATCCACACTCTAGGTATGTCGGTTTTTCTTTTTTTTCTTTTTTCTTTTTCTTTTTTGGAGATGGAGTCTTGCTCTGTTGCCCAGGTCGGAGTGCAGTGGTGCGATCTTGGCTCACTGCAACCTCTGTCCCTGGGTTCAAGCGATTCTCCTGCCTCAGCCTCCTGAGTAGCTGGGATTACAGGCACCTGCCGCAGCGCCTGGCTAATTTTTGTATTTTTAGCAGAGACGGGGTTTCACCATCTTGGCCATGCTGGTCTTGAACTCCTGACCTCAAGATCCACCTACCTTGGCCTCCCAAAGTGCTGGGATTACAGGCGTGAGCCAATGCGCCAGGCTGGTATGTGGGTTTTTCAAGATAAGATAGGCAGCCGACACATCGACTTGCTTCTTTAGAATGTTCTGTCATGGCCAATGTCTGCGGAAAAGGTACATAATATTGGAGTTTAATGAGTTGAACGACAATGCTCCTTGGGACTCTTTCACTTTTACGTGCATAGAGACATATCAGTGCCTGCTATAAACAATCACTAGTGATAGGTGATAAAAACACTATAAAATACATATAAGAAGAGTCATGGCCTTGAACTTCTAATATCGGAAATGCTTGTTGGAATGAAGGACATGATTCTTCAGCTGAGAAGCTTGTGTTGTGAAGGGTCTAGGCCCAGCAGTCCAGCCACATGTGGTTCTTGAGCACCCCAAATGGGGCTTATTGGAATTGAGATGTGCCTTCAGTGTAAAATGCGCACTGGATTTTGAAGATGTATGAGAAAAAGAGAATGTAAGTTATTTTGTTAAGAACTTTAACCAGGGCCAGGCACGGTGGCTCAAGCCTATAATCCCAGCACTTTGGGAGGCCGAGACAGGCGGATCACGAGGTCAGGAGATCGAGACCATCCTGGCTAACACAGTGAAATCCCGTCTCTACTAAAAA